CACACATGTGTTTCTCACATGCATTGAGAGGAATCCTATCATTTCTTCTTGAAAATATGGTCAACAAACCACTTTGTCCACTCCCTCCATTCTTTAGGGGTTACGTAGGAGATAGAAATCTGGCTCTTCAAAAAGGAGAATTCTGCTGTAGTTCTTAGAGGCCTTTGGAAACCCGAGAAAAAGAAAAACATGCCATGGGTTCCCTTTTTGTAGGTATTGCTGCCTCCTCCTGCTGAGCAGGTAAATGGAATAGATTTGTCATTGTTCTGGCTGAGCAGCCTTCATTAATTTCAAATTGAGATCTCTGAGACTTGCATAAATATTTGACAGTCTCCAAGGAAATGTTGACTAAGCCTCCACACAGAATATCTAAAGAGTTCAACAAAAAAAGGAAAAGAAGAAAAAAAACCCACAAAACCCTCACACCTACAGAAATTGCCATTTAAATATATCTAAATCTGTAATACACAGATGCAAACATAGATTGTTGTGTGTACGGGCTATAGCAGGCACTAAAAATATGGTTCCAGCTGCAGTACGTTGAAGTGAATTGTCATAATGAAGGTACTTGAAAATAAAATACACCTTTACAGATGCAATGTAAAGAGTTAAAATATGAAGATAGAGAGGAAGAGAAAGAACATCTTCTGGGCTGTAATAAAGCAATGGTTTTGTATGAATACTACGATTTCAAATAATATACCATGAATGATAATTTTTGAAACGGAGCATTAGCTCAAGTGATGCAAGGTTTGGGTAAGAAAACCATACAAAAACCAAGGGGGGTGATGCAGGAGTGAAGGAAATTTCATTGCCAAAGGTCAGTAACTCCATTCTAGCCAACTTTCTTAGTCTGAGTCCTTTGAGAACCTGGGCTCATTAGAAGAGAGCTGTGACTGATGAGTGCCCCAACTGCTACCATACAGGGAGACTTTCTCGCTTTGAAAGAAAACAAAGGGAACTGTAGCAGGTAACAAAAATGGGATTTCTGCATCTTGAGGTTTTCTGCTCAGAGTTTGCTGTTTACCCCGATGGTGTTTGGACTGTTGGAGAATGCAAAACCGAGCTGAATTTAGCTCTGTGGTTTTGATCTCCAGTTCTGTGTTCAGTTTTTCTTATGAGCCCAGAAAGACTTTTACTCTGTATAATACAAGGAGACATTTACCTGATTTGCCTCAAGTTTGAATTTGCTGGAAGAAAAAAAGTTATTCCAGATTTCCTTAGTGACACATTTCAGTCTGAGCAGTGCCCCATGACAAATCATATTGCCTGCTTATGGCTGGTGAAAGCAGTTATTGGTGTGCTGGTGGAAAGGAAATTGGAAGCTTCATGAAAAAAGAATGCTAATTTTAAAAGAAGAAAAACTAGTTTGAGCCCAGGAATGTGGAAATGCAAGACTATGGGTCTGGTATATTCAAGGTGACCCTGTGTCTTTGGATATCAAGAATAGAGTCTGACAGTCATAGGCCATGACTGATTCTTCTCTTCCAGTTAAGCTGGAGAGGAGCGAGAGAGCTTCCATGAGAACAGAAAGATGTTTGATTTCCTTTTGGAAAGGTCAGGTTAAGAAGGCTTAGTTTTCTTTTTCCTGGAGGAAGATATTCACTTGGGGGTTCAGCATTGTTAACGAGCCACCGGAGGAGGCTGGACAGTAGGACCTCATTACATGGTGGGAGGTATCACAAAGCAAATTGCAAAGTCCCACTGCCCAGTCTTCCCAAGTAGTAGGAGAGGAGATTACTATAACCAAGACACAAAGAGCTCATTGACTAGTCAGAAACTGGAATTCTTAGATTAAGGAAAACCTTGGTTGTTGGCTTGATGACGTGTCCACAAACCGGGGCACTGACCCCTGTTGTCACGCTGTCCGTGTTTTCAAGAAAGGTCTTAAAATTTAGGTACTACAAAACAGAATCTGATTCCTGATATTCTTTCTACCCCAATTTTGCCCTAAAAGAAGTCAGTCCTATTTGGGAACAATAATGCCCGAGCTGGATTTCCCTCTAGCTGCAGTACAATTAAGCTCTCCTTCCAACGCTGGGGATTTTGGAGCAGCAGGAGGGAAATGAAATTCTCCGTGACACAACCACAATGACAGCTGAGTCAGCCCTGGCTCAGTGCTGCAGCATTAACAATTGATGAGTAATTTACAGCTGTGAGGGGGTGGTTTCACTGTTGTGGGCCTTTCGCCTGTTTTAACCTCAAGAGCAATTATCGATGATGCTGACACTACGCATCAAGAGTCCCTCCCCATCTCTCCTGGAGCCTCTTTGGGGACTGGATGAAGCTCTAAGGTCTCCCCAGAGCCTTCTCTTCTCCAGGCTGAACCCCCCCAGCCTGTCCTCCCAGGACAGGGGCTCCAGCCCTCCCAGCATCTCCGTGGCCTCCTCTGGCTCTGCTCCAAAAGGTCCAAATACATCTTGTACCTAAGACTCCTGGCCTCCTGGTCACTATATTCCACATCTTGTGTAGACCTGGTACAGAAATTATTAGGCTCTTCACAGAATTTCTGTGAGCTGAGAGATGCTCTGCTCCCTGCATTTGGTCTGATCCTCCTCCAGGAATGATTGATGCTCGTGGATTGCTGCTGTTTAGCTTTGAAGATCTCTGGCTTTGGTGAATGATCATGAAAAAGGAGATTTTGATGTGTTCAGCTCTGATTCTTACATCCTGTTTTCCTGCCCTGAACTTCAGAAAGATTGTCAAGTTGCCCGAGTTTTCCCATTTTAAAATTACGATTTCTCAGGAGTGACAATTCAGCTTTTTCTTAAATTAAAACCCTTATGGTTTTCTCATTGGCTCGTGCAGATTTCTTTTGACACGCAGTCTAGTCAGGAATCTGGGAACAGTGTTATGAAATTAAGAAGGTACCTGAATGTGTGATTGTTTGCTCCAAGACCAAGTATGTCATTGCAATGGGTTGTGGTTTCCCTACGTGATGCCACATGCCAGGATGAAGTCCCCGTCAGAGCCGTGGTGGCAGAGCTGGACCACCCCCTGCAGAGCGACACGGGGGATCGAGTGCCGAGGGAAATGAACTGGCTTTTCATTTTTCCTGATGCTGCAAATGAGTTCCCCAAAGGCACGGGGGAATGTTTAAGTTAAAAAGACAAACAAACAATGAGCTGCTTACTGATGAGTGCTGATTATGGTGAGTTTGGCTCCCTCCTTTTATGCATCAGAGCCCAGAATTTCCCTGCTGACATCCATCTCAACTGCTTGGCTTAAAATGGGTTTGTTTCATCTTTGTAATGTATGCAAGAAAAAAAAGTTCCCCACTTAATAACACTCTTAGCCTTTCATTTGTGGTTTTTTTTCTTCCCCAGAGATTGAGACAGTGAAGCTGGCCCGCTTAGTGTTCAGCAAACTGCATGAGATCTGCAGCAACTGGGTGAAAGACTTTCCCCTCCAGCCGAAGCCCCACCGCTACTACGAGACATCCATCCACGCCATCAAGAACATGCGCAGGAAGATGGAAGACAAGCACGTCTGCATCCCGGACTTCAACATGCTCTTCAACCTTGAGGTAAATAGACATCACGTGGAAGACAAATGCATACACCAAAACCAGTTTCCTGGGGAAAGTAGGCAGCCTTCTGTGAAAATGAAAGCTGTGTGAGGGGTCTGAGGGGCACTGAGAGTCAAGAGACAAACCTGGTCTTTAGTTAGTTCAGTTGATGTTCTCTAACCCCAGCATCACCCTGACATGCAGTTTCTACGGAAGGTACGTGGAATAAAAGAGCACTTTTCACAGACTTCTGGTGAAATGTCACCTAACTAAATAAAGTTTGTATCTGGCCCGTCCTGATGTAGCCACTGAAGGACTGACCAGAAAGCAGCCCTGCTGTCATGAGGGGCTGCTGATGCATTGTGGTACCCTGGGGTAAGCCAAGGCAGGAGCTTCTCTTTGGCTGGAGACGCAGGTGTAGGAGAGGATTGCCCATGGAAATGAGGAAGTGGTTCAGCTTACACTTCATCTACTGCTGCCGGGTGTCTGCAGGGGTGAGTCTGTGCTGCTTTTCAACCCTTTCTCTTGGGAGGAAGAAGTCAAAAGCAAGAATGAGTAAAGAAAGCCAATAAATAAATAAATAAATAAACCAATCACAAAACTTATGGGAGAATGGGGTGCAGGTCACACAAGAATCCAGCAACATGAGTAGTTTGGTGGAACTGGGTCCAGACTTCCCACCGTTAATTTATTTTCGTGGCCATCGATCAAACACTCGTGCTTGCTCTTCCCTCAGATATCACAGAAAACATAAAACTCAACACTGAAGAATGGCAAATAGAAGAAAGAGGCAAGAATTTTACCTTTAGGATCCAATTGCTGCATAATTGATTCTTTATTATATCTCGTCACTTTAATAACCATCTTCTGCCCCATCCACATTCTTGCCTTTAAATGATATTAATGCAAACAGAGGCAGATGTTTCCTTTGCCTGTCAGTTGTCAGCTTCCGAATTCCAATTTGTGTTGGAGCCCATTACTTAAAAATTACAATGTACAAATATTCTAGTCATTGAGATGGCTGTCAAGGTTGAATTGGCACTGACAGTGGGTTGGTGTGTTGGATGTATGAATAGGCACCGGCGCTGATGTCTCTTGGTACGACATTGTTTCTCTGTTTCAACAGATAGGGGGAAGCTGAGAAAACTGACTTGATGAGTGATTTCACTGTATTTGATTTGTGAATGTAATCACAATTATCTGATGAGAGAGTACATACTTTTTTTTTTTTAAAAAAAAGCAGGCATCTAAGGTGATATGGATTAGATTAAAAAAAAAAAAAAAGTTTTCCCATTTTAAAATTACGATTTCTCAGGAGTGACAATTCAGCTTTTTCTTAAATTAAAACCTTTATAGTTTTCTCATTGGCTCATGCAGATTTCTTTTGACACGCAGTCTAGTCAGGAATCTGGGAACAGTGTTATGAAATTAAGAAGGTACCTGAATGTGTGATTGTTTGCTCCAAGACCAAGTATGTCATTGCAATGGGTTGTGGTTTCCCTACGTGATGCCACATGCCAGGATGAAGTCCCCGTCAGAGCCGTGGTGGCAGAGCTGGACCACCCCCTGCAGAGCGACACGGGGGATCGAGTGCCGAGGGAAATGAACTGGCTTTTCATTTTTCCTGATGCTGCAAATGAGTTCCCCAAAGGCACGGGGGAATGTTTAAGTTAAAAAGACAAACAAACAATGAGCTGCTTACTGATGAGTGCTGATTATGGTGAGTTTGGCTCCCTCCTTTTATGCATCAGAGCCCAGAATTTCCCTGCTGACATCCATCTCAACTGCTTGGCTTAAAATGGGTTTGTTTCATCTTTGTAATGTATGCAAGAAAAAAAAGTCCCCCACTTAATAACACTCTTAGCCTTTCATTTGTGGTTTTTTTTCTTCCCCAGAGATTGAGACAGTGAAGCTGGCCCGCTTAGTGTTCAGCAAACTGCATGAGATCTGCAGCAACTGGGTGAAAGACTTTCCCCTCCAGCCGAAGCCCCACCGCTACTACGAGACATCCATCCACGCCATCAAGAACATGCGCAGGAAGATGGAAGACAAGCACGTCTGCATCCCGGACTTCAACATGCTCTTCAACCTTGAGGTAAATAGACATCACGTGGAAGACAAATGCATACACTAAAACCAGTTTCTTGGGGAAAGTAGGCAGCCTTCTGTGAAAATGAAAGCTGTGTGAGGGGTCTGAGGGGCACTGAGAGTCAAGAGACAAACCTGGTCTTTAGTTAGTTCAGTTGATGTTCTCTAACCCCAGCATCACCCTGACATGCAGTTTCTACGGAAGGTACGTGGAATAAAAGAGCACTTTTCACAGACTTCTGGTGAAATGTCACCTAACTAAATAAAGTTTGTATCTGGCCCGTCCTGATGTAGCCACTGAAGGACTGACCAGAAAGCAGCCCTGCTGTCGTGAGGGGCTGCTGATGCATTGGGGTACCCTGGGGTAAGCCAAGGCAGGAGCTTCTCTTTGGCTGCAGACGCAGGTGTAGGAGAGGATTGGCCATGGAAATGAGGAAGTGGTTCAGCTTACACTTCATCTACCACTGCCGGGTGTCTGCAGGGGTGAGTCTGTGCTGCTTTTCAACCCTTTCTCTTGGGAGGAAGAAGCCAAAAGCAAAATTGAGGAAAGAAAGCCAATAAATAAATAAATAAACCAATCACAGAACTTAAGGGAGAATGGGGTGCAGGTCACACAAGAATCCAGCAACATGAGTAGTTTGGTGGAACTGGGTCCAGACTTCCCACCGTTAATTTATTTTCGTGGCCATCGATCAAACACTCGTGCTTGCTCTTCCCTCAGATATCACAGAAAACATAAAACTCAACACTGAAGAATGGCAAATAGAAGAAAGAGGCAAGAATTTTACCTTTAGGATCCAATTGCTGCATAATTGATTCTTTATTATATCTCGTCACTTTAATAACCATCTTCTGCCCCATCCACATTCTTGCCTTTAAATGATATTAATGCAAACAGAGGCAGATGTTTCCTTTGCCTGTCAGTTGTCAGCTTCCAAATTCCAATTTGTGTTGGAGCCCATTACTTAAAAATTACAATGTACAAATATTCTAGTCATTGAGATGGCTGTCAAGGTTGAATTGGCACTGACAGTGGGTTGGTGTGTTGGATGTATGAATAGGCACCGGCGCTGATGTCTCTTGGTACGACATTGTTTCTCTGTTTCAACAGATAGGGGGAAGCTGAGAAAACTGACTTGATGAGTGATTTCACTGTATTTGATTTGTGAATGTAATCACAATTATCTGATGAGAGAGTACATACTTTTTTTTTTTTAAAAAAAAGCAGGCATCTAAGGTGATATGGATTAGATTAAAAAAAAAAAAAAAAGAATGAAAGCAGAGTCTGTCTGGCTTCACATTTTAACCGTACTGGCATTTTATCCCTGGTGGATTCCAGTCTTGATGTAGACTTCATGCAAACTGTATTGGATGTTCTTCTCCCTCTGTGGTTTTTGCAGTCACAAAAACTCCTGCACAATTTGATGAGAATGGCAATTTCTATTTGAATTGAGTGACTGAATTGTAACAAATGGGACATAAGGAGCACTGAGAGCGCTACACGGGTGATTGTTGTAGGGCATCTCTTGCAGTTTGCAGGTAGAATTCATCAGCAATAGGGTGGAAATTTCCCACTGATGCAAGTGAAGACGGTCTGAGCAGTTTGCTTTTTCCAGTGCAGACTGCCTCTAAGTGCAATTTAATGAGGACACCACAAATCTCAAGTTCAAAAGTTTAAGAACTTCTAGATAAGAACTTCCAGTTTAAGAACAATCCAATTAGCTGTTTGCATTGCTCTCTCCTGAGTTGTTTTCTCAATGTGTTTCCATTGACAGGACCAAGAAGAGCAAGCTTATTTTGCAGTGTTTGATGGTCACGGGGGAGTGGATGCTGCCATCTACGCCTCCATCCATCTCCATGTCAACATGGTCCACCAGGAGATGTTTCAGCATGACCCAGCAGAGGCACTGTGCCGGGCTTTCCGGGTGACCGACGAGCGCTTTGTCCAGAAGGCAGCCAGAGAGGTGATTGTGTTACCTGGGCTTGACTCTGGGAGTATTAATCTATAAATTCTGTCTCTGTTAGCCAGGGAGCTCCAAGGGCTGTGCTGGGCACAGGCCAGGGACCAGCACAGAGCTGCCCATAGAGCTGGTGCCCACTGGTGGGCTTCTTCATGTTCCATAGGGATATTCCAGCCTCCACTTCTCACAACGCCCTCATTTAGCAGGATGCTGCTGCTGTTCTGCTCACGTGCTGAATAGGTTTACTCCTGGGGGTGGGTTTTTTCCCTCATCTCTACAACATAGGTTGTTCTTAGCTCCAGAAAGCAAGAATAAATGTATAACTGACTCCTTGGCCTCCTAAAAACTCATGCAAAGGCTGAGTTAAGTGCAGGGGACTCAGGTGCTTAGAAATAAACCTCCCTTGGGGTTTGTTAACATGCATGCATTTCTGTTAACAGATAGGAATCAGGCACAGGACGTGGATTAAGCCAGTAGCCCAGAGATCAGTAGCAGATCCCGCTTCCGAGAGGCGATCCCGGGGTGAGGGAATCACAGGGCAAAGTTGTTCAGCCAGGTTGGCTCTGAGAACAGTCCTAGCAGGAAGGACAGCATCCCGTGTTTTTCCTTGGTATTGCAGTATCAACACGTTCTGTCCTTCAGTTAAGCAGAAAAGTGCTTTGAAATGGTTCTTATTGGCTTGTAAAAGGGGGAATTTTTTTTTTCTTTTCCACCCTACCCAGAGTCTGCGTTGTGGAACCACTGGGGTGGTGACCTTCATCCGAGGAAACATGCTGCACGTGGCTTGGCTTGGGGACTCCCAGGTTATGCTCGTGAGGAGAGGCCAAGCTGTGGAACTGATGAAACCCCACAAACCAGATCGAGAGGTGAGAAGGGCCTGTTTTAGGCACACCCGGGCAGTGGTTACCACTGAAGCTGACAGGTACCACCTTTACGTGGGACGCTGGGACGCTGTTGCCTCACCAGTGTCTCTTGGGGCGGCAGCGTGTGTCCCAGTCATCCTGCTTTGTTTGGAAGTCGGAATGGATTCCTGTGCAAATCCTTAGTTCTCACCTGGTGGGGCCTGCAGTCTCCACCACGCTGCGTTTCTGACACCACCAGATCTTCCCTGGAGAGCTGAGAGCCTGCTGGCAGTCCTCAGTGCTCCTTCCAAACACTGCTTGTGTTGCCTCCTTCTTTAGGACGAGAAGAAGCGCATCGAGGCACTTGGTGGCTGCGTGGTCTGGTTTGGAGCCTGGAGGGTGAATGGGAGCCTGTCAGTCTCCAGAGCTATTGGTAAGAATGGCTTGAATTCCTTTTGCAGGCTCGCTTTTCTTTTTCATTAAAACTTTATTTTTCCAGTGATCAAAATTTGAAATAGAGCTGGCAATAGAACTGTGAGCGATGACCTCTATTTTTCCCTCTACATGTTGAGGGGATAATTTTCCAAGCCATTCCTTTACCTTGAGGTCAGAGCCATCGGCTCCACCCTGTCTTAATAAAAGGGCTTCCAGATGCTGTGGCTACAAACCCACCCTCTTGTGTGTCCGTGTGTTGTTCTCCCACAGGGGACGCCGAGCACAAGCCATATATCTGTGGGGACGCAGACTCTGCCTCCACTCTACTAGATGGCTCTGAAGACTACCTCATTTTAGCCTGCGACGGCTTCTACGACACGGTCAATCCCGATGAGGCAGTCAAAGTGGTGGCTGACCATCTCAAGGAGAACAACGGCGACAGCAGCATGGTAGCACATAAATTAGTGGCGTCCGCTCGGGACGCCGGTTCCAGCGACAACATCACTGTCATCGTGGTATTTCTCAGGGACATGAACGCAGCGGTGGCTGTTAGCGAGGAGTCGGACTGGACGGAGAACTCTTTTCAAGGTGGGCAAGAAGACAACGGGGAAGATAAGGAAAACCACGGAGACTGCAAACGGCCCTGGCCCCAGCACCAGTGCTCAGCGCCCGCAGACCTGGGCTACGAGGGGCGAGTGGATTCCTTCACCGACAGAACTACCTTAAGCATAGGATCCAGCGTTCACCCCTTCGATGATCAAGGCTATTTAGACCTGACAAAAACAGAAACTCGTACACCTCAGAGTGCCAAACGTCTGCCACCCCTTCAAGCGTTTAGCCCCGACAAACCAAAGAGTGTGGATTTGCTCAACGGCTTCGCGGCGAAGAAGGAATCCCCGCAGCGGATTGTCCCCGTGTCCTCCCTCTGCGGACAGAGCGGTCCCAGGGGGTACCCCGCTCCTCTCACCTTGGGTGCTGCAGGGCAGAGCGTCTCCAGGGCGAAGGGTTTATCCCCCATCTTCTTTGGGCTGGAAGATGAACTGTTCAAACCCCTGGGCAAACGAGCCGCATCGTCCTTTCCCTTCCGACCCTGTAACGGGAAGAGGCGACGAGGAGCCAGGCTCACACCAAAGTTTCACACGTTGCTCTCAGCTCACGAGCCTTCCCACAGAGAAGGATGGGGTCTGTCCTTACCCCTGCGGGGCTGCGGGGGCAGGAGGCTGTCGCTGAGACACTCCTCCCCGTGGTGGAGGCTGCCCCCCGGCCACGGCGCTCGCAGCCAGAGCATGTTTTTGCTGCGAAGGCAAAGTCATTGTATACCAGATTCATCCCTTCATCAACGCTGTAAAATGTAACCATCTCCCTCATGTTTCCCCCCCCCCCCCCGTAAGCCGAAAGCTTTTCCACAAGCCTAATTAGGAGAAAGCGGGGGAAAAAAAAAAAAAAGGAAAAAAAAAAAAAAGAAAGGTGGGCATTTCCGAACTGTACCCCGGTCCCCTGCAAAGCTCAAACCACGTGTAAATAGATCTAGGAATTAACAAATGTAGTTGTTTCAATCTCAATAAAGTTTGCTGGTGGTGCCACCCTGAGCAATGCCACAGCCACCCGCACACACGAGTATCTAATGCCACATTCACTAGTGAAAGCCAAACAGCCGGTTGGCGTGGACAGACACCGTTAGGGAACAGTCTTTAACGACACAGAAAGCGGAACCTGCCTGAGGTACGTCCGTGGAGCAATATGTACAGAAAGATTCTGGTTTAGAGCTGCCAAATTTATTTATTTTTCTTGTTTTAGAGCAAGGCGGGGGGGGGGGGAAGTTTCCATAGAAGTCAAGGTGTGTGGGGTTGTTGGTTGGTTTTTCTTTTGTGTTCTGCTTTCTGTTTATTTCAGGCGAGCACTAAGATGAATTAGAAAATTACATCCACTTTTGCAGGTAGACGACTAAAAGCCATACAGGGTTTTACCAGGTAACTTAGGAACGGACAAACTGAGCTCCTGCTGCTCTGTTCTCAGACTCCGATTGAGGTACAGACTCATCATTTACCTAATTATTTTTTTTTCATGTAACATAAAATGTGGACTATGAAGAAAACAGTTTTTTGTAGTTTTTGAAAAAAAAAATAATAATGATTTCCTATGGCTAGAGGTGCAGTGTAGGGAATTTCGTCTCTTTCTGGTGCTTTTAGTGGCATTTCTCTCGTTTTTGTCAGTTTAGGAAACTGTTCTCAATTAGTTTTAATCGAACATGATTGTGCTTAAATGCTTTGAGCCAACCTCATCTCAGGTCTTAAAAGAAACCAGCCCGTGGAGCTGCTCAGTACGATGCTGCTGTCACTCACCCAGTCAGACCGGGGAGCTGCTCGCGGGAGATAATGAGTGATGTGATGAGCTGTTTGGTTTCGGTAATGATTTCTAGATGGAGAAGGCATAATTTAATATAAAGTTGCAGCCTGAAGGATGCTGTTTCTGCAAGGAGCAGCGTTGCTGCAACCTGGAAGGGGCAGGGAGAGGCGGTGGATGGGGATGAGCAGGAGCCTGCGCAGGGTCTAGCGGGGGAAAGAGGGTAAATCTCAGAGCCCGAGCTCTGCTTCGTTAAACCTGGGCTCAGAAGGGAAATCCAGGAATGGCCGTTGCCCTCGTTTGCCAAAGCAGAGAGTTCTTTATCAAACTGGGAAACAACCAGTACCCACCAGCTCTTCCCCACTCCCGAGGTGGGGGCTCAACCCTTCGGGGAGCGTTAATTGGGACGTAACGAAGCCGACGATTCCCGTCAGCTCCACTAAAGGCACATCCCGTCACCATTATTTGTTACAATAAGAGGTTTGTAAGAGTTATGGATAAAGTCAGTCCTCATAGGCCTTCATTGTATGACTCGTATCATTTTAGGAGTAACAATTTAATAACAGTATTAGTATTTAGCTAGAATTTGCAAAGTATTTTAGTATTAAGTAGTCAGGAAGATTATTCAACACGACGAGATGGCAAGGTTTGAATTCTGCCAATTTCCGCTTCTTCTATCTTTGATGCACTATTTTAAAAGCAATCTGATGAATAGCAAAAGGCTTTGTGAGCAACCAGGAGCTGGAGTGTGGCTTTAGATTCCTTTGATCTTTTTCAGACTTTTTTTTCTTTTTTTTTTTTTTTTTTTTAATCTTACGGGATCATTGGCTCTTATCTGTCATCTTACTAAGCCTTAGCTGTTGTCAACGTTCTCTTTAGCTGCAGCATATGTTCCAAGTCAGATTTACTGAGGAAATTTGAGAAACCATGAAATGGTAAAATATGCAACTCGGGGGCATCTCTGCGGTGCCTTTGTTTTCAATTATTCACAGTAATAACGACGCATTGAAAGTCTGTCTCAGAGCTGACTGTCGTGCTTCGGGAGAGAAAGGTGGTGTAAGTGCAATTCTTTGTGTGAGTAAATTCGAATGAAAACCCGTTCTTGGATGATAAACTTCTTCCCAGTCCGCAGGAGCAGTTGAAGAGCACTTGGGCTGCACGTGTGCTGTTTTGGGAAGGATCTAGCTTTTTTTTAGGTGTGGATTCATACACGGTAATTCTGCGACTCATACCATTTATCCTGCTAGGAGAAAAAAAAATAAAATAAAAATATCTGCCATCGTAGTTCCAGTGTGGTCAGGTAAAGCCATTGTATAGATAGATAGCGAGTGTCCATTTCTTCACTAACTGCATATTTATAGAGTAGATAGGAACCATTTGTAAGGTAAGTCCTTTAAAGTTCTATACTATTAAAAGTAGTGGTTATTGGTCTGATATATGCTGCTCTTGATTCTACACACTAGACAAAAAAGCAGTGCTTTGTGAAATGCAGTGTTTTTCTCTTAATGCCACTGGTGATAGGAAGTAGTTCTCTTCAGTTCCGAATCCTGTGCCCTTATTTGCTGCTTGCTGACGTAAGCAATAATCCCTCTCTAACGGTATCTAAGTGTTCTGTATCTCGTACTTTGATTGTCTATCTGGTGACAATGTAAAAAAAAAAATATTAGGTTAATATAAAGGTATCTAATTGTATTTATTAACTGTTGATACTGAGATTCAGTCTGTGACCTGTGTTTTGTATTTTTATCGTGTATCTTAGTGGTGGTGAAATTTGTATAACGAATCTTTCCAATAAAGAGCTGAAGTATCCCTTTTTCCGCGTTAACACAACCCGCATCAGTTTCAGTTCACGTGTGAGCCCTTGTTTGCAGAACTAGGAGGTAGGTAGCGAAAACATGGAGTTTTCTTTTTCTTTTCTTTTGGAATGGCGTTGGTTTTGAGAAGCGCTTTGTCTGAAGCTGCTCAAAACTGGCTCGTAAGCTCTTCACTGTGAGTACTGGTGGGATCCCCTCGATCCCTCTCCAGTATTTTCCTGTGTATTATGCTCCTTCAATCTCCGAGGCCGGCCCGTCCCGCGGAGCGCAGCGGTAGCACCAGACCAGGGAGCTCTTCACCCCCTTCCATTTGCACTACAGGTGGGTGGAACCGCGTGTGTGTATATATAACTTTTTCTTTACCTAGAAGTGCCATCAATTGTCCTTGGAAGTTTTTTTGAAACAACCCAATGGGGTGTTTGACGTGGATGGCGTGGTACCACGGAAGGACAATGTCAAAAAGCTGACTTTAACTTAACGCCACATTTATCGTGGTGCGTCGTCGTAGAAACTCCGCTCTGTTTTTGGGACACTGTGTGTCAGGGAGAAACGCCTTGTCCTCTGGGCACGTCAGCTGAGGCGTAATAAGGAGGTGTGTGGTTATGGACATGGCTGCTGTAGATCAGGTCCACTATCTCCTCACTAAATCCTCCCTCTGCACGGGGGAAAAAAAAATAAAAATGAGAAAGATTGGTCTAAATTAGGGGCTGTTTGAGCACAATTTATCCACTCGGCACTAGTCACATAAACAAAGCCATCGAAGGGGATACTGCAGCTTTGTTCATGCCTGTAATTTAGGGCAATCTTTCTTTAATTCATAGCCTCTTTGCCACAGGAACAAAACTCTCTACCCTCGTATCATGTGCAATAAGTAATAACGAAGCATTAACACGAGCTCTGACTTCAATGTGCGTATCCTTCCCCAGCCCTCGCCAGCATTGAAGCTAAAGATAAACCACAAACCACCCCCCACCTCTTGGGGTCTCCTACGACCCTCGTGTGTCGCACCCGCATTGCGTTAGGTCCTTTCTCTCCTTGGCTCTAGAAGACACCTTGGAACAGGAGCTGGGGAAGCTGGTGGAGACCACCCCAGGTCCCTCTCCTGCCACACGGGGTGCTCCCCTGGCCCTCTCTGTGTTCTCTTGTTCACGGAACAAACGTGTTCTTTATGAAGTTGAAATAATAAATAAAGCCAACCCTTCAAGTGCGTTGGGACTTTTCCATTTGCAATCTTGTTCTACAATTCACAGACGAGTTTAGTTATAACCATGTATTAGTCATCCATATTTTATTTATGAAAGCTGTTTATACAGAAAAAACTGTTGAAGTTTTACCAATATCTTAATAAAACAGTAATTAAAACCACACTTCAGATAGTCTGTTTATTTAAGAGCTAACGAAGCCAGCAACCGACAGCTGAATTAAGTGTCTTTACTGTGGTGAAAGCAGATTGTGATCTCTAAGAGAAAATGACTGTAGCCATGTAGTTACCCAGGGCTGTTTTACAACCAGGAAGGGAAGGGGCAGTATTTAGCTAATTAACTTACACTGGACCATGTCTTCCAGGCCTGTTTCTCCACCTCTTGTTTAAAACCCAGCTGTAGAGAAGTTCTCCATATGGTCCCAGCTCCTCTCCTGTCCCTGCAAAGGTTGGACACAAACTCCAGAAGGGAGCACGTGGCAAATCAAAATCACTGCCTTCAGCTCAGGCCTCTTATTAAGAGTAAAGCAGCTGTGCGTGGTGAAGAGGCAGAGCTCTGTGATTACTGCTAATTGAGCTGTGTATAATAATCAACACGCAGCCCTGTACAACAGTAAACACTCACAATGCACCACCGTAGTGTGCAGCTCCTCACGGGCCACCTTCAGTGCTCAGCAGCTGGAACAGCTGTGCACAGGCAGCTCCTGCTGCACCTCCTTCCTTGGGCTGAGACACACAAAACCAAGTTTGGGCAAAAACTGTGGATTCTCCTCAACTCCTATTTGAATAGAGGAGATGTAAGTATTTGGTCTGGCTTCTACTAACACCTCCTTCCTTGGGCTGAGACACACAAAAACCAAGTTTGGGCAAAAACTGTAGATTCTCCACAATTCCTATTTGAATATAGGAGATTTAAGTATTTGGTCTGGCTTCTACTACCATAGCTTTAAAAATCCCACATGGATTTAAGTGCTTTTTGTTAAATAATTCAGGAATAAGTATTTGGTCTGGCTTCTACTAACATAGCTTTAAAAATCCCACATGGATTTAAGTGCTTTTTGTTAAATAATTCAGGAAGAGAGGGAGAAGTGTAGGGCAGGAAAGAGCTCCTCTATGAGCAGTGGGGCATCACAGCAACTGGGTGCTGAAGAGCAAGTGCAGCGTGAGCCGTGTTACTACTTACCCTCCTTTACACACACACACACCTACAACTTCTCAGCAGAGTTCAACATTCATTTTATTAACAAAGTGCAAACAGTTTTAAACTAGGAGTTGTACAGCACTTACACTGTGGAACATTCAAACAGAAAGGAGGGTCAGTACAGGCAGCCGAGACAAGGACAACTACCGGGCACAGCTATTCATGCTTTGTCACTAACCAGCGGTTCGGCGTCCGTCGCAGCTTCACGAGTAGTTTTAGCAGCTCAAAAATGCAACGCGCGGTGGCAGAGAGTTTGGCAAATGTGTTGGGTTGGTCCACACCACAGACTGAGGAAAAACAACTTCTGCGCCGCCTCCTTCGCCCCAACTCCGGCTCCATCGCGGCTGGTGGGACTCAGCAGCCTCAGACAATCAGTTCACACCGTTTAAAATGAGGACATTCACCCAGGGGCTGTTATTCCAGTGACACAATAGGACACAGCCTCAAACAGGGCTTTTCCAGCACCTTTTGGACAATTTTTCCAAGCATCTGAAGCTGGCAGAGCCAGCAGGAATGCAACCTTTAGTGTAAGGCCTTCAAAAGGTCATTTTACCCCAGTTAACAGGTTTAAGACGACTGTAGAAGAACCACATGAGGGTACTGACAGGATGGAGAGTGCACACAGCCAGGAACAGCAGCCTTGGACTAAGCTCCAGTGAATAAACGCGCCTCTTCCCAGGGACACGAGCCAGCAGGTCTTCAGGCCCCAGGCCCCTTCTCTACCTGCTCCAAAGAAAGTCAGGTTTCACTGAAAACCCTCACTCCGGGGCAGGTTGAAGGCTTTGAGCAATCACAGCCTTAAGAGTCACAGTTTTTATGCCAGGTACTTAAATCCAAGCTGAGTTTTCTGTTGCCAATGACAGGAGCTGGCAGAACTCAGCCAGCCCCCCCAGCACGGGGTGATTTCTAGAGGTTGCCTTAAAAACACGGGCAGTCACATGGCCCTGGGGAGGCCAAACACCACCCAGAAGGTGCCCAGGGGCTCACCTGGCTGCTGTTGGTCTCCTGGTGGCAAAATGCAGCCCCTTGGACCGTATGAACATCCACTCACAGCAGGATGAATGTTGTCTCTCATCTCTGCAGCCCGAGGAGCAGGATGGGACAAGGCACATCCCCAGGGCCACAGCCAAGGCAAGGCCCTTCCACTTACCTGGTGCTGTCTTCTCCAGTAACAAAGCTGAGATCATCAGAACCAACTTGATCACCCTCCGGGAACATCGAGCACCGCTCCGAGGCTGAAAACAAACCAAAACCCAGTAACCTTTCCCAGATGAGCAATGGGAAAGCAGCAAATTAACATTCCATCACCTGCAAGGGCCGTTGTGCTGCATTTCATCCCTAACAGACCGGTACACGACGTGCTCCGCTGTTAAAACTGCCACACGGTTTTAAATTTAAGCTACCTTGAAGTCAAGCACAGACACAAACAATGTTTTGATTCTTCTGTGAGGTGTCAGTGCCCACTGCAGACACACAGCAAAGCAGCAAACTCCACATCCTGAGCTGAGTTGTCAGACCAAGCTGCTAACGCCGTGTCGGACGCTTATTCAGGCCAAAAGTCAACTTCACCGCACATCAGCTGTCACCTCACAGCTTTTCATTTGATCAGAAGGTTAAAGCTTGTCAAAGAAATAGGAGATGAGGTCTAGAAACTCCCCTCAAGTGCTCAAAGCCCATTCCTGGCAATTAAGATGCAAATCCGTGTGGGAGGCGGTGGTTACCTCCCTGAGATCAGCCTACTTACAGCGCCCGCCCGGGACACAGGGAGCTCCAATTCAGAACTAGAGCTGTGGGTTTTCCAACCCTTCCCCGGGGGACTCACCTAAACTGACTTCTCAAGGCTAGAAAGAGTTCCCCTCTCCTGTTTTGAACTGGTTTTAATTAGGATCCCAAGAGAGGAGTTCCAAATCTTGTCGGTGCTTGGTTGAGCGTTAACGGCTCTCCAGCACCACCAGTCACCTCTGCTTCTGCAGGGCCCTGGGTGGCAGGAGGGTTTGGGAGGGTGGGATCACACTCAGCTCTACCTTCTCCCGAGGACTGGCCCGAGAAGGTGTGGTTGAACCCCTCCGAGGTAGAGGCAGCATCCTCCTGCTCTTCGTTTTCTGTGTCACATTCAATGTCACTGTCACTGCTCATCCCTGGGAGGAGATGAAGGACATGCTTCTGACATACCCCAGCTGCAAAAAAAGAAAACAACCCCAAAAAAAACCAAAAACCACAAGGCAAAAGTGATGGCAGTGAGATCTGTGTAGCTGGAGCATTCAACGTTTTCACATGTAAGAGTTACCAATCTCAAATACCAAGAGCTGGCAGGAGAACTAGAGGGAAGGAGCACGTTCAGAGGGAGATCATTTGCCAAAGCACTAAGGAACCCGACAGAACAGTGGGTTCTGGTTGGAGAACAGCCTCATTTCGCTGTGCAGCTCGGCTCCAGGGGAGCAGTTCCAACAATCACATCTCTGCCTGAGCTCAGGTGTCTCCAGCCCCCACCTGGCTGAGCTGCTCTCCCCTGCCAGCTCAGGGCACCTCCACACTCAGGACAGAAAATAAAGATTGCTGGTTTTAAGAGGTAGCACGACCCAGGAGGCAGATGTACCTACCAGACCCTTTAAGCAGCAATACTCTATTCAAGTCTCACACACACAAAAGGTGCTGGTTTAGCTGCTGACAACCCAAGTGGCTGCTTTTTGTTTTGCCAGACCTTGAGCGCGCACTGACAGCAATCAAAACTCTCCCTCTTGTACAGATTTGCAGGTGACAAAAGGGGTTTGCTCTGATCTTTTACTCCTTAAGAGCTGATACTCATTGCTAAGAAAAAGCAAGTAGTCAAGCAAAGTGCCAACTCCGCTGTAGTTTTTCCTCTGAAAGGAAAAAAAAATTGTAATATTTGCTTCCTGGGGTTTTTAACAATGAGGTATTTCAGTTTTTAAAACATTTTCCTATTAGGCTCTCTGCTATAATAGGAGAGCTGCAGGAGCGCATCATGATCACGCTGCAGTGACTAAGAGCAGAAATTCGGTTTTGTCACTGAGAGACCTTCTGTAAATGCCAACTCCTACACAATATTGCACACTGCAGATAGAGATGGATGCTGGCACCTTAATATAGGCTTTGCGCTACAATTCAGTCATTGAAATTCAAATTAGTGCAGGGGTGGAAGGCAGGAGAGTTTTAGCAAGATAAGAAAAACTCTTCTACGTGGACTTTCAAAAAAAAAAAAAAAAGGAAAAGAGGCAATAATCTCTTTTTTTTTTTCCCCCAGCATGGAAAGGATGCAGGAAGGGAGGGGGAAAAGTTTCCTCCAAGTCTCTAAGGAAACTGGCTTACGTACCACAACACCCGACACCAGTGAAAGGTTGGAGAGATCCTGGTGCGGACGTGGACGTGGTTACCAATGCCATTTGTCCCTGAAGGCAGAAAACTTAAGAGCCAAGGTCACTGGCTCCTATCCTGATTAGATAAGAAATTCTTTTCAAGGCCGTGCAACAGCACACCGAAGCAGAGACCCGGAGACATATCAGGAGGGACAAAAAGCAACCAGTTGCCCGTCCAGAGAAACAGAGGGCACCATCTGACATTATCTGCCGGGTCCTCACATTCCTGCTGCACCGTAACTTCATGAGAAGAGAAGCCACAGAGACCAGCGACACAGAGACGTGCTCTCCTCGTTCAGTTGTACTACAGATGCCAAATGTTACAGCAAAGTTCATTAAAACAGTTGGGGTTTTTTTTTTGGTTTGCTTTCCCTTTCCTCTTTTTGTTTCCCTTCCAAGCTATTTCCATTACAGAAATGGCTCATCAGAGACTGGAATGTGGTCACGCTGCGTTTGCCCTCTACACATCATCTGATTTACCTTCTTCTGGCCCCGCAGAAGCGCCCTCAGAAAGCATGCCCTGCAGTTCTCCGGTTTCAGAGCTGTTTTCTGGACCACCTGCCTGTGCTCCTTCTGTACGACATCCTTTAGAATTCGATCTTAAGAAAGAATTTAGGAGAAATACAAAAACTCATGTTAGAAATTCAGCTAGTCCAGCTATGGAAAGAAATCCTTTCAGTACCACATCTACTTTTACTCCTTAAGTCTTGTGTGTAGACTTTAGCTTTCAGCTTTGATTTAGAAATATTTAAAATCTTAAAAACATAAACCTTGAGAAGTTTATGATGAGTATTTTCCAAAAATGGTGATTCTTGCTATTGAGAAAAAACCCAACTGAGTACTCCCTTGCACTCAGCTTATGTAGCCAACGGGGAGTTGTTATGAAATTGTCGAGAAGTAGAGTCACAGTGAAAAAATATTGTCTTAAATGAAAAAAATCAAAAGTGACAACTTTCAGTTAGAGGATATTTTGCAAGGAACAGTGGGAAAACAGGCTGGGCCTGCCTTTCAAATTGAAGTTTCAGACTATACCCACAGCTGATCAAAACAAAAGAGAAAAACAAAAAAAGAAGAAGAAAAGATGACTCGTAACCTAGTTATAAAACCAAAAACTGATATCCAGAGGGAACAGCAGCAACCAAGTAAACTTCAAAGTAATTTTTCTTCCACGCTACAAGCACCTGCTTTTAGTAGATTGGTATTTTTTTCCTTCTAGATCAAGGGAAGGCGGGGGAGGAGATAACAAGAGGAAAAAAGAATAAAACCCTCACCCTAGAGCACCAACTCTCCTGGTCTTCTCCACAGCAGTTAAGCCGTTCAAGCCTGAAACTCCCACATCAGAATCTGAACCTTCACAGGGTCTCTCCTCTGGCTTGGGCAGCGCCTCGGAAGCGTTGCTGTTGGGCAGGGGCCT